ATATACTTAGCAACCTCCATTAATACACATTTAAGATATTTCTTATTTTGATATTATGAATATGATTGTTACAAATACTAAATTGGTGTACGTACACTTATTAACTTCCTTGGGACAAATTGTAAGACGTAAAATTGACGACTAAAGAGTATATTCATTTTAAGTTTGTGATGTACATTGCCATGTTGACTTAAAAGACCTCTTTTCTGTGAAAATATCTCAGGGGCCTCACATGATAATTTATTTGTTTTCAGTAGCCATTAATTGAAAAAAAAATGCATAATAAAAAGCTACCATAATTCACTTTTGATTCTAAATTAAGTTGCACTAAACACAACAGAATCAGCATATGCTTTAAATAAAAACCCTTTGTGTTCAGAATAGATTATTTGGCCAATCCACCTGCAATACTTGGGTGCTTAGGGTCTGGCTGGCTCTTTGCAGGTGTGATTTTCCAAATTGGGAACTGTTCCTTCTTGATTGTATTCTGTGGACTCAGGTCCCCCAAACAGCAGGTCTCGGGCATAATTTTTTTTTTTGTCTTTTTCTCAGATGAAGAGTTATTTTAAGGATCATCTTTCTCTAAGATCGTCATCCCTTCCTGGAGTTCCTATCTTCCAAGATGTGACTGTCTGAAGTTCCTTAACTAGGAAGATGGATGAAATTGGGAAGCCTGTGGATGGAGACTACAAGGAATATGGGAAGAAGAGGAGAGAGGTTGTTCCTTTTAATAAATCATCATTGTTAAAAGCACTCATTATATTTTAATTATTTGGTTAAAGGTGAGGAGGAGGGAGAGGAGAACAGATGACATTTGTTGAGTATTGACTATCGACAAGGACCGTGTTAAATTCTCCCCAGGCATTATCTAAGTAATCTTAACAACCTTGTGACTGTACTTCTTATCACCACCATTTGAGGACACTGAGGTTTGGGGCAAAGTCATACAGCAGATAGGTGTCCGTGCCTAAACTATAATCACATGTCAAATGCCATATAAGACCTATGCATTACAGCATAGTGGTCAGGAGCCCTGACTCTGAATTTCAAACCCAGGCCCACCACACAGCCATGGGGACTTCAGTGGCAGTCTTCATCTTTCTGTGATTCAGTTTTCTCATATATATATAATAGTACTTCATAAAGCTACAAAGATAAGAGGGTCACGTACAGTGCTGATACATAGAGAGCAGTCAGTAAGTATTAGTTACAACGATTATTAGCACAGTAGTGCCCCAAATCCATGGGGTATATGTTCCAAGACCCCCAATGGATGCTGAAACCGTGGATAATATCAAACTCTATATATACTGTGTTCTTTCCCATAAATACAAACTTATGATAAATTATAATTTATAAATTAGGCACAGTAAGAGGTTAACAATAACTAATAATAAAATAGAACAAATATAACAATATGCCAGTATCACTACTCTTATGCATTGAGACCATTGTTAAGCCAAATGAAGGCTACTTGAACATAACCACTGGGACAGTTGATCTCATAACTGAGGCGGTTATTAAGTGACTAACGGGCAGGTAGCATATAAGGCGTGGATATGCTTGACTAAAGGATGATTCACATTCCAGGCAGAATAAAGTGGGATGGCGCAAGACTTAATCACACTACTGAGAACAGCAGCAAGTGGAAATGTATGAATTGTTTATTTCTGGAATTTTCCATTTCATATTTTCATACTGTGACTGAAGACGGGTAATTGAAAAGGCTGAAAGTGAAACTACCAATAAGTGGGGACTACTATGTTACCAAATAGGCTGATGACCCTGAAACAGAATCCAAGGCCAAGCCTCCTTCCTAGCCTCTCCTAGTTCAATATGTCACCTGGATACTGAAATCAAGCTCCTCTCTTCTGGTTTTCCCCATTACAAAATGTGGGAGGTAAAACAAAATGGGTTTATACATTTCTTGTCTATGTTCTTCGCAATCACAGCCAGCCTGGGCTGCAATCTGATTTCAACCAATTTGCTGCCTGTGGAGACTTGACCAACCATTTACACTCTTTGGCACCATTTTCTCAACTGTAAAAGGGGGAAATAATCATATCTACTTCATTTGATGCTGAGATGTATAAAACTTTAGAGTTTACGAAGCATTTTCACAAAAATCCCATTTGATTTTCACATCAACCAATGGCAAATAGGGGACCCTGAATAAATAATTAGTGAATTCATTCATTCTGTCAACAAGTATTGCAGGAGCACATACCACATCCCAGGGGCTGTACTAGCCCTGGGATACAACAGCGAATGAGAAAAATGGAATCTATGCCCTCATAAAGTTAACACTCTAGAGGAGGCAATAAATGATAAAGTAAACAAATAAACAAGATAACTACAAGTTATGGTAAATTTTCTGAAGGAAATAATCAAAGATGTGAATTAGAATGAAGTGGGGGCATGCAAGCCTACATAAGTTGTAATGACCAGACTCTCATGAAGGGATAAAAATGAAATCCTGAGAGGTTTCCAAACATGAAAGGAGTGAAATTCCACTGAGGTTCTTGATCATCCGATGTAGAATCTAACAAAGGAAATGACTGTAAACATGCTTAGCACCCCTTAAAGCCCCTCAGTCACTGTAGGACTATGAAAATATGGAGAATTTAGGAGGAGACAGGAGATTTTCTTGGGAGAGAGCTTTTGCCATGCTGTGTTTCCACAGTTTCAGGGTAGGAGGTGGGAGTAGGAGTGCTACTCTATAAACTCAAGCCAATGCAGAGTGCCTTCAAAGCCCTCCCTCAGAGCTTGAGATATGTTTCCTTCAGTTGGTGATCACTGCAGAGTAGGGATGTCCATTTCCTTAACGGAACCACATTAATCCACAAGGGTACATTCTACTGGAACTCAACAGACCAGCATCAGTATACTGTATTTTACAATTCCTGTGCCATTCCACCTTGAATAACACACTATGCATGTCATCCATGTTGCAACTTAAGATGAACCACACCAAAGCCAGGCTTTCCCACAGTCTCTTCAAACCACCTCCATTGTGGAAATGATCAGGCCTCACATCCTTCTAGCTCAATGTGTTAGATATCTCTTTAGCACTACTTCACCTACTCTTGGTACTACATTCTTATTCTAGCCATTGCTACAGCAACTAGTTTATCTCAGGCACCTACTAGCTTAGAACAGGTATAACTGGCAAGAGCCTTGCCTCAGATTGCCTCAGGGCTTCTTTGACTATGCAACATAGGACTCCTGCCAGAACCAAGCAAGATGCATGCTCAACACAGGAACACCAGTGAATTAATGCCTGGTGGACAACTTTGATAACAGAGATCAAAAGCTGACAGATAAATGCTTCCCCTCTCTATTCCTCTCCGGAGAAGGGTCTTGAGAGCTTCACAAGGCTTCTCAGAAACTCCTGAGGACTGAACAATCAGTCACCGCTTGCAATGGCCAACTCAATAGCACATACTGGTATTGAGTCTCCTTCCTTTCCTGTTCACCTGGATAAATTCCTCACCTATCAACCTCATCTGAGGCTCTGCTTTCAGGGAACCCAGATTAAACTATCCAATGACTAGGTTTTAGCTTCTGATCTCTGAACAAATGCTTGAATAAATTTCTTTACACGAATACACACACATCTATGCACATATACAACACACATATATACACAGTCCAAGAATAGGAAATAATATACCAGCAAAATGGAATCTAAATCCAAACAAAAAAATTAACATTTCTCCCCAAGCCCAAAGTCTTCAGAAAACTAGCTCAGCTAAAGCATACCCCTAATTTTCATTGCTGAACAAAAATGTTTTATTCTCAGGATAAAATCTACATTCGGGCGACTTCAAGGTTTTCCCTAAGAGCCAGGGGTGAGGATTTACTTTATATTTGCATAACTCAAAGGCCCTGGAGATTGTTTTCCCAATTTGCCTAACCGTGAAAGTCAAGCCTTTACTTCCTGGATGACTGAAAACTAACTGAACACAGATTTTTAAATGTCTATTTTATTCTCCAGCTTCTTGACTTTAAGGTTTCAGAAACTCTTGGGGTGTCTCATCTCAACCCGGTCACCCTTAGGCAGATAATATTTCACATAATTCAGCTGAACTCCAAAAGTACTCTTCTAGTGGGGCGAGGTACCTCGTGATCCACGAGAGGATTCAAACTGGGAAAGGAGGAGAAATGGGAACACAAAATGCAGCTAACTGTCATTTAAGTAGGGAATGCTGCCCTATATTCCACTGGCCAGATTGTAATCACACAGCCACAGCCAACTGCAAGGAATGCTGGGAAATGTAACCTTCATTCCGGGTGGTTTTGTGCCTGGGGAGAGATTTTTTTTTTTTTTTTTTTTTTTGAGACGGAGTTTCGCTCTTGTTACCCAGGCTGGAGTGCAATGGCGCGATCTCGGCTCACCGCAACCTCCGCCTCCTGGGTTCAGGCAATTCTCCTGCCTCAGCCTCCTGAGTAGCTGGGATTACAGGCACGCACCACCATGCCCAGCTAATTTTTTGTATTTTTAGTAGAGACGGGGTTTCACCATGTTGACCAGGATGGTCTACGATCTCTTGACCTCGTGATCCACCCGCCTCGGCGTCCCAAAGTGCTGGGATTACAGGCTTGAGCCACCGCGCCCGGCCTGTGGGGAGAGATTTTGAAAGAGTAGAAAGGTGTCTTAGAACAAGCAGTTTCTGCTACTGCCATCTACAGCACACCTTCTGCAACTCCAGCCCCAATCTGAAACTAGTACTCAACAGAGTAACTTCAGCCCTGCCCACGAACAAACTTTCTGGAAGCACAAATTGACAAATCACTTTTCAGTCAGGGATCAAGAAGGTGTGGCCAGCGAAAAATCTCCAAGCCAATTTCTGACAAGCATTTGCAGGGTACTTAGTCAGAGGGGTCTCGTAGTCATGGAAACCCCTCTGAGTCCCAGTCCCGTCTAAAAAAGGTACTTCCGGAACTAGCGCGCGGAGCGGGAGGATGCCCCGGAAGTATTTCTATGAGACCCTACGTAGAAAATGGCTGCTGTACAAGTTGCGGGTTCCGTGCCTTGCAGGCAGTCGCGGGAGGCGCCGCGGGAAGCAACCCCTGAACGAGGCAATGGGTTCCGCCGTTTGTCTGCCAGGCTCTGCGCCTTGCGGCCGGATGACAGCAGCTCCGCCCGCACCGAGATCCACCTGCTCTTCGATCAGCTCATCTCCGAGAACTACACCGAGGGCAGCTGCGTGGCTCCAGAGGTAGGCGGCGAGTCCGGGAGAGAGCGGGTGCGGCTCCTGCTGGCCCTGGCCCAACCCCTCCGGGAACCCAGCTGGCTGCCTCCGCCTGCCTTTCCCTGCTGTTCCCACCCCTGCGCCTGATGATTTAGTTTCAGGCTGGCATGCTCACTCCCACAGTGGCACATCTTAGTTCTCCGTTTGGAAGACTTTGTGGTGCTTGGCACACTCGCGTCTTTCAAAACCCAGCTGGAGGACCTCTGCTCTGATAATGCCTCAGGTGTCATCTCTGGTACCACCTTTCCATGCCCTCGCACCCTCCTCCACTCCCTGCCTGTGCATCCAGAACACTTTGTTGACAAAATGCAGTACTACTCTTTATTGTGTACAGCATACACGGACCACGTGCTGTACGTTACCACGCGCAGTTCCAGGAATCTTAGAACGTGGGTAGTATTAGGTCTCTTTTGCCTGTGAAAATGCTGAAGCTCTTTAAAATCCAGTGTACAAAAAGTCTGCCTGCCACAAAGCCCCTAACGTTTTCTGTTCCAACACGCTAGCTCCTTCCCTCTGCTGTCTTTCTGAGTAATCTTACATACATCAGGCCTTGAATTAATGAATTCTCTGAACTGTTGACACCAGGGCCTTTTGGCCCTACGTAGGAAAGATGGAGGTGGTGCAAGTTGCCTGCTTGCACAGGCATCTCCAACTAGACAGTTCCTAAAGATGAAATTAATTAGCTCCAAACACACATTCCCGTCCCCAGCCCATCCCACCTTCCAACACACACATGCACAATCCACCAAGTCACACAAGACATAAACATTGGTTCGTCCTTCCTTCATCCCAGGCCCTCTCCAATCCAGATATTTCAGAATGTGTCTCATATATATTTCACAGTTCATGCCCTCCTGTCTATTCCCATAGCCAATGCCTTAGACTTCAGGCAAGGTGACTTATACCTGGACTGTTCCGCTGGTCTTCTCTAACTGATCTCCTGCCTCCTGTCTAGCTTCTCTCCAAATTGATCATAAAATTTTAAATCTGCTTTGGAAAAATCTTCAATACATATTGGTAAATGGTTGAAGCAAGTTGCAGGACAATGCATACAGAATGAGATCAATATGGACCTGGAGGAGGGATTTTAAAATATGTGTGTTTATATATGCAAAGATAAGGTCTAAAAGAATTCACAACAGAGTAATAGTGTATGCCATTAGGAAGCAGAGTGAGATTAAGGCAATAGTCATGGGGCCTTTTGCTATATTTGTGTAATTTGATACTTCTGCAACAAAACTTTGCCTTTCCATTCTCTCCTGTTACTCCCCCTTTTATTCCTGTGTGCAGTCATTTAAAACTTGCTGTTCTTCAGGCACCTACTGGTGTTTCACATCTCCAGGCTTTTGCATGCTCTGTCTACTTTGCTCGCAGTGTTTTTAGACGCGGTGTCTGACACATGTCTCTTCATTCTTCAAATCATTCCAGATTCTGCTTTACAATCACCTCCACAAGGCCTCCCTAATTACTGTTTCTGGACAGAGTTTGTACTTTATTCTTTCAGCACTTAATTCATGTTACTTTAATTATTTGTTGTGTTTCTTTCTCTCTCACTAGGTTGTGAGCTCTTTGAGGTTCAGGAACATGTTTGTTTTTACTTTGGAGTCCAAGGACCTAGCACACTATGGCACATAGTAGGTGCTCAGAACATTGTCATTCAATAAACATCAATGGATGAATGAGTGACTTGCACATAGGTCCCTCTTTTTTTTTTTTTTTTAAGAATTCTCTAATTATGCATAAAATTCATAGAAGTGTTAGGTCTGATTTTTTTCCAATGCCATTGAAAATCTGGTTCAGTTACTTTTTGATATTTTTAACTTCAGTTTGTGCTTTTATACCCTAGAAGCCTTTCTTTGGTTATTTAATTATACTGTCATTACATATATAGAGACCAGAGTCTTAGCCTGACCAAAACCATACTGAATCTTTTCCATATTTTTTTCTTTTTTCTTTTTTTAAGAGACAGTGTCTCACTCTGTCATCCAGACTAGAGTGCAGCAGCAAGATCATAGTTCACTGTGCTCCTGGGCTCAAGCCATTGTCCCACCTCAGCCTCCCAAGAAGCTAGGACTACAAGCCACCATATCCAGCTAATTCTTTTTAAAAGTGTCTTTCTGTAGAGATGGAGTCTCACTATGTTGCCCAAGCTGGTCTTGGACTCCTGGGCTCAAGCAATCCTCCAGCTTTGACCTCCCAAAGAACTGGGATTACAGCCATGAGCCACTGTGCCTGGCCTTTTCCTTCCTTTTTTAGCACATCGTATTTTTTTGCTATCACTTCATTGTTTTCCTTTCTTCCTCACATTTTCTTTCCCCATTTTGAATGTGAATATTCACTTTTATTTTCCATTTGGCTGTGTTTTGAGGATCTTCACTTGGTTAATAAGTATTTTACTACTTCTTTATCTTTTTTTTTTTGGTAGGACGTTAGTGCTCTTCTTGTCCAAGCTTGCCAACTGGTGCCTCTTAATCAGAATCATCTTGTCAGCAAAGTGTCCCAGCTTATCCACCATTTACTTAACAGATTACAGGTAATGTGTGTAACTTTAGAATTCACATCATGAACTTTGATTGAAATACCACATCTGTAGTAGATATGACAGGCTGCTTTTTTGAGATGCTATAGGAAAAGCAAATGCCTTAATAAAAATGCTTTTAAAATAAATGTAACTCTGATCCAAAAATAGATTATTCTGTAGAATTTTAGAAGTTTGTCTATTAGAAGTATGACTTTCAGTTTGGTTCAGTAAACCAGTATCATTCAGGCCCCTCAACCTTATAATTTCTTACGGAAGATATATTTGAACAAAATATATCTAAGAATAAATTGAAATAATCGCCTACCTCTTTCCCATCAATATTTTTCCCCTCACTTGCAGCTACCATTTTTGTGGTCTACTTTTGATGCTTCTAAAACATAAGAAGTAGCTTGGGGCCAAAGGGACACCAGGATAAAAAGACCCTAGTTATTTATTTAAGACTGTTACCACATGAGTATGTGAATATATTTAAGAGCACAAAACATATCAACTAGCATTATGTGAGTTAGGATGCTTTTGGCTGCAAGAAACAGAAAAGCCATCCCAGAGTCACTAAACAATTTTTTTAAAAAAGAAAAAGGAATCATCACATGTCCCAAGTCCCAAGGGAGGCATATATAGCCTTTAATAATAAGAGGTTCATCTTTCCCTTCACCATCCTAAGCACGTGGTTTACCCTCAGGTGGCATCTCTCACAGTCATAAGATGGCTTCGCCAATTCTGGACAGTCCCTGCCAAAGAAATGGTTAATATTCAGTAGAAGCTAAATAACTTTATTTTATGTTGTGTCGCTTAGACTTAAGAGTATGGAAAGTTGTCCCAAAAACTCTCTAATAGACTACCAGTCAAGTTCATGGCCCTCAGTAAGTAGTAACCATTATTATTATTACCTTTACCCACGTGCTTAGGATGGTGAAGGGAAAGATGAACCTCTTATTATTAAAGGCTATATGTGCCTCCCTTGGGACTTGAGACATGTAATGATTCCTTTTTCTTTTTTAAAAAAATTGTTTAGTGACTCTGGGATGGCTTTTCTGTTTCTTGCAGCCAAAAGCATCCTAATTCACATAATGCTAGTTGATATGTTTTGTGCTCTTAAATATATTCACATACTCATGTGCTGGAGAGACTTAGGTCATTTAAATACCTCTCTAAACCAGTCTTTAAGCAGGAGAATGATCTTATTGTGAATGGCTTCGCCAGTAGTTTCAACCTTCACTACACATTACAATCACTTGGAGGCGGACTTAAGCTCCCTAGATGATTATAATGTGCAGCCACAATTGGCCTACATCAGAGTTTCTCAAACTCAGCACTATTGATATTTGACTCAGGTCATTATCTTGCACATTGTGGAATGTTTAGCAGCATCCTTGGCCTCTACTCACCAGACACCAGTAGCACCTCTCCAATTGTGACAGTCAAAAATGTATTCAGGCATTGCCAGATGTTCCTTGGGGGTTAAGAATTGCTCCAGGTTGAGACCCACTCTCTTAAACTAATTAGCATTTACCCTTGGGTCTCACGTCGGAGAAGTGGACATACAAATTAAATTAGTACTCTGCCAGCAGGAAAGGAAGAAATGGATATTGGTATATAACCAACAGTGTCTGCTGCATGGACTGAGGCTGTTTTCAGATTAGAATCCTTCAAACTAATATGGGGTAGCGTTTGTATGTTTGCTATTTGCAGGTGTATCATCTTTGTAACAGTGGCAATTGGAGATGTTCCTGATCACCTGTGGCACTTATAACCCTTTACCAGCTTTCTAGCATTTGGTGACACTTTGTCTCAATTGTCCATGAATTGATATTTGGATTAGCCTGATCTGTCCCAAGAAGATTATCAGCTACTTGACAGCAGGGATGTGCCCTCTCTTCATGGTATATTTCTCACGTCATTTTCTATTGGATCACTGTGTATTCATTGAGTCTTTGTTATGTATAAGGCAGTTCAATTGAATTAGATTTCAGTGCATTGAAATACATCTGTGTATTCACAGCTGCCAGTGTCTGGTTAGTTCAAAGAAAAGTTATAAGGACTTTACCAAGTTCTACTTTATACTAAAGAGGAAGAAGTGAGCAAGACCTTGGGGCAGAGAGAAGGCCCCTATGTTGATCAAATTTTCAGGCCCTTTAGAGGTGATCCTTTTGACACATAAACAACAGACACACACTCTGTCTTTTATACAGCTTGATTCAGGTGAGCATACATGTCCATAAAAGCATAATATTTTTTAAAAGTTAGATTGTAATATATTTTTTCCTCTCCTGTTAGGTAATTGTTGACGAACAGCACTTGGATTTCCTGTTGGCATATACTATTTCGGCTGTTCATCAGTGTAGTTCCTGGACATACATGGAAATTCTTCAAGCCCTGGCAGCTCTGGTTTACTGCAATGGCTCAAAATGTCAAAAGGTAGTTTAAACTGTTCTATGCTTCCTTTTAAGGGCTAGGAGTACAGGCTCTGGAGCCAACACTGTGTTCAGGTGTCTATCTTGCCACTAATCTCTAGCATTTCTTATTCAACCACTCTGGGCCTTGTTTCCTCATGTATAAAATAGTTAACCTGAGGATGAAGTGAGAAAATACTTGTCAAGTTCATGGCCCTCAGTAGGTAGTAACCATTATTATTATTACCTTTACCCATCAGTATGCGGCCACACTAAAGAGCATCAGCAGGTACCTAGGCTGGGAGTAATGTTCCTTACTGATGCTTTTTGGCATATCTTTCCATATCCATCTGTGACATTTACCTAATAGCTAGTGTTTTGGTGCTTAACTGCTATTTAGTTAAAAAAAAAAGAAGAAATCTGTCTAAAACATAATATTTTCCTAGAGGCTTTTCTTTGACCTACATTGACTGTTATTTTGTCTTAGTACCTCCCAGAGCTGCTAGGCAAGACCGGGCTCTTACTGAAGTTGAGTGACTCGGCTCAATCTGATCCTGAAGTCAGGAGAGCTGCAGTACATTGTATGGCAAACTTATGTCTCAGGTATGTGGCTCCAGTCAAGTTTCTCAATGGTAATAAGATAGTGCCTCTGTTGGGCCCTTTGTAGGTAGTTCCCTCTGCCTGAAGCCAGAACCAACTTAGAAAAATAACTAACTTTGCATTTCCCATGTACTTTACTAATAAAATCATCATATATTGTTTGTTAATTTTAATACTGCTTGTAAAGAAGGAAAAAATAGACTAGGACCATATTCCTAAAATGTGGTAATAGTAATATAATGTGCAGTCTTTCAAAATTTGTTTTCTATTGGCATAAATTCTAAGCGTATTGAGTTTTTAGAAGGATATATTCATGCAGATTTAAGCACTGGTGAGATGTGTCTGTAAAGGGCAATTTCTTTTCTTTGAAGAAGGTGGAAACAGACCCAGCTTCTCACCCTAGATTCTCACAGTGGGCAATAGGAAACAAGCAGCACAAATGTGAACTTGTTTCTGCATAACCCAGTGCTGGCCAGTGAGTAGAAAGGCAGGTGTAGCCGTGTGGTTCTAGCTTGACAGGACCTGTCTGCATTATTTCCCTCTTCGGACTGAACAACAGAACTGAAACAAGGTTTTTCTTTCTCCATGCTTTTTCTACCACAAACATCTATAACCTTTCCGTATGGAAAGCACTGTTCCTCCATATTCATTCTAGCCCTGTGCCTGTCCCCCAGCAGTAACTAATTAACCCAAATAATCACTTTCCATAGCATAGTTGCATTCAAGGGTATATTCCAACTCTAATAGTCTGTATTACTGCTATTTTTAATTCTTAGTCTTTTGCAAGCCTCATTTCAAAAGAGACTGAGTTTGAGTTGTTTTCTCTATATGCGTTTAGTGTGCCAGGACAGCCGTATTTGGAGGAGCCCTACCAAAATATCTGTTTCCAAGCTTTCCTGACTATTTTACAATCTCCAAAATCGTCTGATATGGATGATATCACATTTTGCATGGTAGGTGGACCATCACTATCTAGTGAATGTTGTGGATGTGTCTAGAAGCAGAGTGGAATAATGTTACTAATGAGTTTAATTTGCACTATTAGCTTTGTCTAGAGGAATACACGTATATGAAATGTTTGTAACCTAAAAAGACTAAAATCATACCATTTTGGTTTAAATTATATGAAGCTTTTTATTCGTTATGTTTTGGTTTTTAGAGGAAACTATTCTTTTTTCTTCTGAGTATAAAAGCAATACAGTTGCAGGCTAGTGGCTGTCTTTAAGATGAAGGGGAAGAGAGAATTCAACAATATCTGCAATATTTTATTTCTTTTTTTTAAAAATATCATGCAAATGACACTTTGTTAACATCTTTTAGAGTAACACATTTCAAATATTATAAATGTAAGATAAAGTTCCTTCTAGTCTCCTGCTCAGATATAGCCACTGAAGATAATTTGTGCTATGTGCCCTCAGATTTTTTTTTCTATGTGTAAATAAGCGTTTTACAACTTTAAATGCTGTTTTGTAACTTTTTTGTAAAAACATGCTGTTTTGTAACTTTCTGGTTTTGTTAAAACTTAATATCTCTGGGACATCTATTTAGTACCTGTTAATATACCTCATCCTCTCTAACTGCTGTGGCTGGAAAACCTTGGACAAATTACTTCTTGGGCCTCCGTGTTCCTCCCTGAAAAGGGACTGATATAACCACATTGTGGGTTCTTATGTGAAGTATATGAAATAAAACATTCAAAGGGTCTGCTGTTATTGTTGTTGAGTTTTACATTTAGCAGAGGGTTAGCTTCTTTTATAATCATTATAATCATCAAAATTGAAGTTTTTTCAGTTTTTCCACTATTTCAAACAAGGCTACAGTTCACATCATTCCCAGTGTAGGGAGTATTTCTTAAGGACAGAGTTCTAGAATTGAGATTACTGAGTTAAGAAATCAATGTTGGTCAGAATTGCCCTCCAGAAACCAAGTTTTTATCATTCATCATCTGTTCCCACATGCATCCCTTTGCCTTTAAGAGCTGCTGGCGTTGCCATAGTACAGAGCTTCCCCACTTCTGATCTGTGCTATCTCTTTTTTATCCCTTGTCACATTTTTCTTGCTAAATATCTTTTCTCTTTTTTCTTACTCACCATTTGTACATACTGATTTATAAACATGTACACTAAGGCCACTTCATTACTCTTTTCTTCTAGAAAAGAATTCATGGTAGTTTATCAGGTCTCTTTGGAACTTCATCTCTGTTTTGTGTATATCTGTGTGTGTCTAAAGGTTTTTTCATCATCCAGAGACTGTCTCTCTTCCATCCTAAGTGGTGCTAGTAAGTTGATTCTTGGACAACCAGATTTTATTCTGCCTTCTAACTGGGTCTTCCTTTCCCCCCTAGTTGTTGCAAAATGCATTAAAAGGTATACAGTCACTTCTAAATGGTGGGAGAATGAAACTAACACAGACTGATGAACTCGGAGCACTTTTAGCTGTGCTAAAGGTAAGGCAAGTCTTCATATGATCATTGTCTTTCCTGATTCAACCCGTGATACAAGGACCACTTTACATCCTTATTCTAAGGCTAACTTTAAGGTATTCAAAGTTCCTATATATATTTTGAGAGACTAGACCAAAATGTTCGTATTCAAAGATGCTTAATATTAAGAACAGAAAATAGTAAATCTCCATTTAATAAATGTGTCAAAATTTTAAAATTATCTGTGAATCTTAGTAAGGGAATAGGTAGGGGGATATTACCTGTAGAAGATTTAATTATAGATTATGTTGTACCTGTTTGTATTTGCAAGAAGAGCCAGTGCTTCTCCTTGCCTTTCTCCTCCAAGTAGTAGGCAGGTCAAACAAGACGTGTGTCAGTGGGCAGCTTCCAAGCATGCCAGTCAGTCGGAAAGTCAGGCCAGCATCCAGGGACCCAGCTTCTTCAGCCAGTGAAGTAAGAAGCAGCAATTCTTTCCTTGTGCCATTCTCTTGCTCCCCCATCAAAAAGAGAGATAGATAGCTAGATGTGGAGATAGGTAAATAAAAATGATAAATTGGTTTTAAAAAGTATAGATAGATATGGATAAATTTTATAAATAAATAAGGAAACTAAAACCAGACCTGATCTGTTCTGACCGAACCAGATCCAGCTGGAGGCCAGATCAGCCTAAGCTCTTCTTTAAGCCCTATGCCTTCGAGGTATCTATTTTCTGTCACATTTCTATTTCCTTAGTTGGCTTTTAAACATTAATCTGTTAGTGTTCTGATCCAGACATGGTGAATAGTTCTGTTTTATGATTAATGGTTTTTTTTGGTTTTGTGTGTCTCTCTGTGTGTGTGTGTCCTTATTTATCATTATTAGAAATCCATGTTTCACGGACTCCCTGGACTAAACATAGAGATGCCCACGGTGTTATACCCAACTCCACTTCCTCAGTATGATGGGCGAACACCTATCAAACCACAGCAATCAGAATCCAGTACTTCTCGACCAACTTTGGTACATTTATGTTTATTTAGATTTAAGTTGTGGCTTATTTTTAATAGATTGCTGTGTGTGTTTTATATAATTTTCATCACTACTACCCTAAAAGCCTACCTTGAATTTTATTTCAGTTTAGGGTTGCTAGCATAATTCATCTGAGGCTCACAGTACCAGTTAAAGCATCTTTTACCTCTTATAGGTGTAGTCAGTCTAACAGCTATAAAAATGAGCGTTCACTTTATACCCCACACCAAGCATTTTCATCCCCACGACGCTCAAGACCAGCAGTCAACAAACGTTTTCTAAACTTTCTCTACAAGGCTAGCTTGTAGAAACAACAAACGTTTTCTAAACTTTCTCTGCAAGGCTAGTAAATACTGTAGGTCTCTGTCATAACTACCAACTCTATTGTAATAGGGCAAAAGCAGCCATAGATACAATGTAAATGAATGGGCATGACTGTGTTTCACTAAAACTTTATTTACAGAAGCAGGCTATGTGCTGGGCTGGATTTGGCTTTTGGGCCATAATTTGCTAGCCCTTCTCTAGACCATTACAAGCCCACCTATCAGTCAGTGCTCCATTTCCACAACCCTCACATTCACCTGATTTCCCAGCCTTTCCAGATAGCTGCCATCTCCCTCGTGCTTCAGTTGGAGAACCTGAAGCATGCAGATGTATGGTCAAGGATTCACATCCAGAAGTGTTATACCTGATCAAAATGCTTCCCATTAGAAATGATTTCAGTCATTCACTCAATCAGCATTTACCCAGTATCTGCTGTGCTCCAGACACTGCGCTAAGCACTAAGAATATGGACTCTGGCTGCTTTTAGGAGTTTGAGAGGGAAGGCAAAGATGGATAAATAAGCAGCTACAATGCAATACTATTGTTTCTATCATCAGAATATTCTCAGAGTACTCTGGGAACACATTGAGGTCACCCAGTCTAAATGGAGGAGAAAGAGGAGGCTTTTTAAAAGATGTGGTAGCTAAACAGAGATTTCAGAGTGAGTAGCAGTACAGAGAAGGAGGGATGAGTGTTTCAAGCAGAGAAAAGGTGCATAGATACAGAGAATGAGAGTATATATTGCCCTTTTGTTAACTAGTCAGTCTAGAGTTTCAGAAAGGGGAGAGGAAGAGTGGAGCTGTTGTGTAGCAGAGACTGAATGATAAGGTTCTTGTACAGGAGACTGAGGAGTTTGGGTTTTTATCTTGTAGGCAATAGAGATTGATTAAAGAATAGTATATAGGGGAATGATGTGATCAGATTTGCATCTTAGAAAAATCATTGTGGTAGCAAATAAAAGAGTACGGGCCAGGGGCCACAGTAAGTAGTCCAAGGTAAAAGTAATGGGAACTTCCTTCCTCAATGCCACAGACTTTGAGAACGTGGAGGAAGACACAGATTCCAGAGATAGTTGGATGTCAGAAAGAAAGGGAGAAAGAAAGAAACTGGCTTCTACCTAGAATCTACTTCTACGGAAACCCAAGGCCCCAAAATATGCATTATATGTAATGGATTACCGTCTCTCCTGTGCAGGCATGTAGAATCGTATTAGCTATATATGTTACTTGGAGAACCGATAAAATAGACACTCAAGTCATTTTCTATAGACTTTAATGCTCTTGAGGAGTTCCAGTTGAGAAGGCTGAATACTTTCACAACACCTGTGCAAGGTAGGTGGTATTAGCCTCATACTTACAGATAAGCAAGGTCAAGCTCAGAGAGGCTAAATGACTTGACCCAAGTCACAGAGGTGCAATTTGAACCCAGGCCACATGTTTTACTCTGTCTCATGTATTTATACCTTCCTTCTTATAGGAGAGAGCAAGCACTTAGCATCGTGCCTGATGCTTAGGGTATTAAAGAAGTTCCACTTTTTTCTTTTCTCTTGTCTTCTTTAAACTACATGTTGGGGACACATTTAGTCACTTTAAAATGAAGAAGTAACAATTCAGTTAAAAGCCATTCTGAAGTAGCTATTATGTATGTCTTCATTTGCTCCTAAAATCAGAATAAAAAGAAAAAATCCAAAGTAAAACCAAAGAAAATCCAGCAAGGAGAGGAGGAGGAGGAAAAGGAATCCAGTGGTGAAATAGAGGCAGCCCCAGTCACTGGCACAGGCAGAGTGAACCTGCATGAAGGGAACACTTGGTGTCCCTCCTCCCTGGGTGTCCAGAGTTTGCCTTTAGATGGAAGTGGAGCTGCAGGAAAAGATGGAGTCTCCTCACCCTTCAGTTCTTCCAGTTGGAAAAGGGTCAGCAGTAGTGAGTCAGACTATTCTGATGCTGAAGGAGGCATGCAGAGTAAAATGAGGTAGTAGTATTTTGTTACATTTTTATACCTTATATTCTAAGTTGCATGTAAGTTTATAACTTTGCTGAAAAACCTGACTGCTGCATGTGATTTAACTTGAAGAGCCTGATTTCTGTGGGGCATGGTGTTACTCTGAACATGACTTGCTTTCTTGATCTGCCATTCCACATGTCATTACTCTCCTTAGAATATTCTTGACTTCTTCTGTGCCTTTTCGTCTTGCTAACCACTACTCATCTTTGATATGGGCTCAGAAATCATATTCCCCAGGAACCCTTTTCTGCCTAGTGTTATTAGTAATGTATTATTATAGTTATTTCCTTAATTGCCCCCCACTGCCAAGCTTGTCAAGGCAGGGTCTTTTCTATGTCTGCCAGCCTTAGCATGATGCCTGGGACATACCTAGGTAATTCAACAGATATTCGTTGGATGGATGGATGGATACTTGGCAGTGTTTTGTGTCTAACACTAGTTTCCTGATATCAAAATGTTGCCCTCTTGTTCTCCAGTTGTGTTTTTTAATTGTCAGCCTTAATAACTTGTTATAGAAACAAATTGTCTTAACATGTTTTGATTGTAGTTTGAAAGAAAAAATTTTAATAACACATTGACATCTTTAGAGATTATTTAGAATGTTTAATTTTTGAAAGTATCATTTGAATTGGTGGAAATAAATACCATTTCATTGTTTGCATTAAAAAAAAAACAAAACTATTTTTAAACTTTTTTTCTTTTTTCTCTTGGATGTGAAAGGTCTTACCAAGCCAAAGTTCGCCAAGGAGCCTTAGTTTGTTTTCTTTCTACTATAAAATCGATAGAAAAGAAAGTTCTTTATGGCTACTGGTCAGCCTTTATTCCCGATACGCCTGAACTTGGAAGCCCACAGTCAGTGTCCTTGATGACTCTTACATTAAAAGATCCTTCTCCAAAGGTAAGAGAATTTAAATTCTAAACTTTATAATAGGAAGAAAAAATTTACAGATCCTCATTGTTGTTGTTGTTTTTCGAGACGGAGTCTTGCTCTGTCACCAGTGCAGTCGTGCGATTTCTGCTTACTGCAACCTCCGCCTCCCAGGTTCAAGCGATTCCCCTCCCTCAGCCTCCGTAGTAGCTGAGACTACAGGTGTGCACCACCACGCCCAGCTAATTTTTGTATTTTTCGTAGAGACAGGGTTTCACCATGTTGGCCAGGATTGTCTCCATCCCTTGACCTCCTACCTGGCCCTCCCAAAGTGCTGGGATTACAGGTGTGAGCCTCTGCGCTTATTGTTTTCTCTGCCTTGTCCTATCTGATCTGAATACAGCTCTTAGTAACACTGACCCAAGTTCTGACTTGAGAACCACTAGAGAGGCAGGAAAATAGGAAGTGGGCTTATGTGAATAATGCATTGAGGGTGACCATGTAGCGTCGCTTCCTGCTCCAGGGCTTGCTTGAAGCCTCAGCACACTGAATTATAACTTTGATGTCTCCCTTGAACTGCACTGAAGCAGCCATGCTTCTCTTCCTTTTATGAAAATATTGATTGCTGTGGTATTTATAACAAGAAAACATCAGAAATGGCTTAAACAACTCAGTAGAATATCATGGTACATAATGGCTTTGAAGGATGCATAAGGCTTAGAAAAATGCTCAAAATGTTCTGTGAAAACACAGGATATAGAATTATATATTATAGTAGGATCCCAAATGTTTTTTTCTTGCAACTTTTCCATAGTTTTCAAATCGTATGTAATAAATATTTACATATTTTAATAAGAAAGACATTTTTTAAAAAGAAGAAAAAGCTATTTGGTAGGCATGGATACCTATAGCAAGATATCTCATGACTGATCAAATATTTGCCTCTGCTTGAATATGTTAATTCCTCTCCAGAAGTTAGCCACTTAACCAAGTAAGGAAACAAAACTCCTGTTTACAATGGTGAACATTAAAAAGCCATGCTGAATGGCACCTGGGTGTCCTCAGGTAACCAACTACCCACAAAGAGAGACGTTTTAATTAGGCCAACAGCATATTGTTCCTTTCCTATTTTTAAGATTAGTACTTAAGGGGTCGGGGTGGTAACCCACAATATGTTGGAATTCCATATGAGTCATCTCCTTGAGTAACTAATTACTATGTAAGAAAACTTCTGGATGACCCATCAGAAGCTTTTACAAGTAAAGAAAAATAAGTTAGCCCCAATTCTACACACACACACACAAATGACTTGTGGGGTATTTCAAATACTCGTTATCCTAAAAAATTAAATCAGCAGAAATTTTACAAATTAATTAAACCAATAGTGAACCTGAGAACCTGGGAGAAAAATGGAAAATGAGTGGTGGCAAATAAATCAGTAATGAAGCCATTAGAGTAATTGAGATAAAAACCACTAAAAATATTGAAAATGTATATTGGAAGACTCTCCAGCTAGGGGAGCTGCCAGCAGTGGCCCAGGAGATGGTGCCGTGGAGCAAGAGGCAGTCCAGCTTCATTACCTGCATCGAAGCTGCCCAGCCAAGGGGATGTGGGACGTGGGGGTTTGGAACATGAATGCAAAGAGGTTATGAGAGCATCACTGATAAAAATGAATTGGAATAATTTCATGATATTTATATCTTCATTTTTTTAATGTTTACATTTCACTTAAAATGCCATGAGAAATTTCACATACTGCAAAGTGGTCTTATCCAGCTCCTTGATTTAAGTACCTTTTAGACATGTTCTTGCTGTTTAACTTTGGTGAATGCAAGAGATGTACTGAGGAAGAAAGATACAGAACTTCCTTCTGGAAATGTCCTAGATCCAGTACAAAAAGCCACCTGAAAATCCTGGAGAAATGAAAAAAATAAAACAGTCATCCTACTTAAAGAGGATTTTAAAAGATGAAAGTAATTAAGTTAGTTCAATATAATGGCAAGTGAAATGATTGTACTGAGATTTTTTTTTTTAATCAAGTGTTAGCTTGCAAGCGTGTAAATAAGTGTGGTGATTATTGTTTACAACAAAGCTTGGAGCATACCTCTACAGTCTGTCCATAGTGTAATTAACTGTGTACCAAGACACATGCTAGAAGAAAGTGTTGTGATAGGTGATGTCAGTGGGACAGGCTTTTTAAATAAAGCCTTCTAGAAAGTTATGTGCATTAAAATTAAAAATAGCAGATTATCTGATTAGAATGGAACAGCATTCTGGATTGACCAAATTAAAAGAGCTGCCATGACTCCAGGCCAAGTGGTCATCTCAGGTGCTCCTTGTGCATGTAGAGTTAGATGGCTGGATTTCCTCTTAGCCAGGATTAAACAAAACAGCAGTAGTTTGTCTTGTCGTTGAAGTGCTTAGTGATTAGTTTTGAGTTTATGATAGGTCTGATATGACCCATGGCATACTCAACTGGAAGCACAGCTTTAAGTGGTTTACTAAGAAATTTTCCAAAGAGAAATGGACAGGAGAGCGGGTGATTAGATTCTTCCAGTCAGAATGCCAACAATAAACAGAGGCTACTTTTGGGAATTTGAAACATAATATGCTAGAATGGTTAATTGGGGAGAAGAAAACTTAGAAATGTCTATTAGGATTTGGCAGTGTTGTGGTACTTAGGAAATAATCACATTTCTATGTGGGAAATGTGCTTCAGAAAGCACGTCTTATAATATGCTTCAAAAAGGGACAGAGCAAATTATCAATAAAAAGAACAGGACTAATTTAAGAATTTCTTTTATATGATTTTCTTAGTTGTTATAAAGGCATATTATGGAGAATATCTTCAAGACTTGTCTAAGGAACAAATTACAGGGCAAACCTTTGTCTTGGCACCTTGAGAATTATCCTGATTTACAAATTTCATGATGATGATTTATTTAATGATGATGATGCTCTTTTGGATAACTATAAAAAGTGAAAACAAATCAAAATCTAGATGATAGATGGTATAACTAGAAAAGAGAATGAAAGGTTGGAATTCTTAACTTTTAAGGAGTGGTAAATTTTCTCTCATATGGCCAGCCAAGAACAGGCAATCTTTGCTTAGTGTATTAGTTTGTATTCATGCTGCTGATAATGACATGCTCGAGACTGGGAAGAAAAAGAGGCTTAATTGGACTTACAGTTCCACATGACTGGAGACGCCTCAGAATCATGGTGGGTGGCAAAAGGCCCTTAACATGGTGGCAGCAAGAGGAAATGAGGAAGAAGCAAAAGTGGGAACCCCCGATAAACCCATCAGATCTCATGAGACTTATTCACTATCACGAGAATAGCATGGGAAAGACCAGCCCCCAGGATTCAATAACCTCCCACCTCAGTGGGTCCCTCCCACAATACATGGGAATTAAGATTGGGTGGGGATACAGCCAAACCATATCACTTAGATAACTTCTGATCCAGAGTCCCTGACACAATGTTGAAATGCCTTAACGTAAAAGACAACTGACTTTGGAAGTGATATCTAATAAAATTAACCCTGAAACGTGGACAGCCAGGTGCCCTTCATGGAAACTTCAGTGGTACCCACTCCCATCAGGGACTTCTTTCTCACCCTTCCAGAAATATTCTGAGACCAAACACACATAAAGAGGAAAAAAAATTAGGATTGACTAAGCTACCCCAGTAAACATTTGTGCTGCATTCTTAAGTAACAAAAAAGGAAAAGTACCTTTCTGTTTTATTAGCTTTAGACAAGCCTTCATGTCCAAGGAGATGAAACTATACACTAGTAAAACCAAGTACAGTGACGTTTGTAAGACTGAAAAGCCTTTCATCCATCATTTTAAATATTCAGACAATAAAAAATAAACAAAATGAGCTCTGTGGAGAGCTACACCTATTATGATTTGCCTGCACATTAGTAATTTCTGCTGAAAGTGCTAATTAGAACTGGTAAACAAGATATTAAATATTGATATAAAAATAAATGAAGCAAAACTTGTACCAGATTCAGTATCTTAAGTAATAGTGATAACAAAGATATGTTAAACAGAGTTTAAAGGAAATTATCTCAGAACTGTGAAAAGTATAATTTGACATAGTATCAAATTTCTATATAGATTTTATATCTTAGTGGAAAAAAGTAACCAATTTCAATGACATTTGTTTTCGTTTGTTAAGATGCCAAAATTGTGCTAAAATTTTTGACTCTTTGAAATTAGTTCATTTCTTTCCACAACTCAATTTTTAATTTTATTCGGTTTGTGAGCTGTTGGAATTGTGGTTTTTAATTGTCTTCTAAAGAAATGAAGGTTTAGCATAAGATCTATCTTGTTGAGTGCAGACCAGCCTCTAGTAGGGATTGGCCAACTATGACCTGTAGGCCAAATCTGGCCACCTGTTTTGGTATAGCCTGTGAGCTGGGAACAGTTTTTACACTTTTAAATGGTTTTAAAATAATCAAAACAATAATTTTTCATGATATGTGAAAATTATATGGAATTCAGATTTCATTATCCATGAATCAAGTCTTTTTGGAACATTAGCCGCATTTATTCCTGTATGTGTCTGTGGTACCGTCACAGAGTGGAGTGGTTGTGGCAGAGACTGGCCTGCAAAGTCTAAAATATAAAATGTGTACTACTGGCTCTTTTTTTTTTTTTTTTTAGATGGAGTCTCTGTCAGCTGGGCTAGAGTGCAGTGGTGTGATCTTGGCTTACTGCAACCTCTGCCTCCCAGGTTCAAGCAATTCTGCCTCAGCCTCCTGAGTAGCTGGGATTACAGGCGCATGCCACCACGTCCAGTTAATTTTTGTATTTTTAGTAGAGACGGGAATTTCACCATGTTGGTCAGGCTGGTCTCGAACTTCTGACCTTGTGATCTGCCCACCTCAGCCTCTCAAAGTTCTATGATTACAGGCATGAACTGCCATGCCCAGAAAAATTTGCCAACCCCTGATCTAAGTCCTTCTTGGATCAGCTGACTTGTGTTCGTGCTCTCACTCTCTTGTTCTTTCACACATATGCACACGGTTTCCTAATACATTGTCAATGTCCTACCTTAGGGGATTATGCTTCATTCTGAAGTCTGATGCTACTGTACTTCAAATTTGTTTTCAGAGCAGTAAGTCTAGATTTCTGCAATTCCACTCTGTAAAAGGCCTGCCTGGTGATTTATTACCTGGTTGTTTGGAGATAATATAATTGAAGGAAGGCTTTCCGGAAAACCTTTTTTGCTCCAAACTCAGATATGCTTCATACTGAGTAACTACTTAGGTTAGATTCTAGAATTGTAATGTTGATTTCCTGTTTTTTTTTTTTAATTGAAAATGTTAATTTTCATTTTTAGATGATCTGGCCAAAGAGAATACAGTATTATTTCATATTAATAGTCCTGTGCTTATTACCTGTATTCCATTTTTTGTTAAGTTGGGCTTTCTTTTCATTTCTGATTTTCAAGATTGCAAAATCATTAGAGTACCAATTGAAAGTAATCATTCAACCTTATAAAGAAAATCTTGGTGCCAGTGACACCTTTCCTAACAAATACACAGTCCATGTCCTTTCCATTCATAAGCTTGTATTTAATAGTATTCCTTTCCTTAATTGGCAAATGCTATCACTCCAGGCAGTGTTATTTCCTGTACCTAAGACTGTTTTTAAAGCTTGAATTACTAATGATGCCTGCCAAGTTATATGTACACAAAGTTCCTAAAGTCCTATTTAAGTTAACATTGAGCACACATGCTTCAGAGTGGAATATGAGGCACAATGTTCTCCGGAACTTTGATATGAAACATACTCTAGGTACGTGTATTTTTTTCTATCCCATGGGCTGTTTAGTTCTGACTTTTCAATTATTCTGCTTGAATAAACCAGGCCTCTAATCCTTAAATTATTCCCATACTTAGGATTTCAGATCTTTGTGGTATGATATAGCTTGGATTTATTTCTTACTGTAAGAAACCTAACAGCAATGTGTTCCTGGATTTTTTTTTTTTTTTTTTTTGATGGGTTTTTTGTGTCTCTATCTCCTTCAGTTCTGCTCTAATCTTAGTTATTTCTTGTCTTCTGCTAGATTTTGAGTTTTTTAGCCAGGTGTGATGGCACACACCTTTAGTCCTAGCTACTTGGGAGGCTGACACGGGAGGATTGCTTGAGCCCAGAAGTTTGAGGCTGCAGTGAACTATGATTGCGCCACTGCACTGCAGCCTAGGTGACAGAGTGAGACTGGGTCCCTAAAATAAAAATAAAATAAAGATTTTTTTTTTTTTTGGTGTGGGATGCAAGTGGCGTAGTTTTTAGGAACTAACAGATAATCCCATTGCCTTTATTCTTCCAATTAAAATGATTCCATATACTTTGAAAATTAAATGTGTATCTGAAGAAGGGAATCTGACTCCTGATTTTTAACTAATCAATGTGCGTCATCCCAAAATTTCAGACACGTGCCTGTGCTCTGCAAGTTTTATCTGCCATCTTGGAAGGTTCAAAGCAGTTTCTTTCTGTTGCTGAAGATACCAATGACCACAGAAGGGCATTTACTCCCTTCTCCGTAATGATCGCTTCCAGCATTAGAGAGTTGCACAGATGTCTTTTGTTAGCTTTGGTGGCAGAGTCATCCTCACAGACCCTTACTCAGATAATTAAGGTAATGTACCAACTGTGGGTTCCAGAGGGGGCTTCTCTGTTTTAATTTTATAGACTGTTTTACATAGCCCAAAAGTGACTTGACTTAAAATATAACTAACTAATAATTTTATTAAAAATACCCTATTTGGAAGTCTGTACCCACTTGTCTGATCTTACCTGTAATCTCTGTATGTCCTAATAAATGATTTGCTAAAAATACTTCATCTTTAGTTTTTTTAGTTGTACCAGTGAGAATGCAAATGTTACTTAAAAGAAAAAAAAAGGACTGATTTTTAGTTGTGTGAAAACTTTTTAAATTAAATGCTGTAAAATTTGTTTCTATGCTGTGGTTTAATCAAGCCTTTTGATGAACTGCTTTTTGTGTTTTACAGTGCCTTGCAAATTTAGTATCAAATGCACCTTATAATCGTCTAAAACTCAGCCTGCTGACCAAAGTCTGGAACCAGATAAAGCCTTATATCCGCCACAAAGGTTGGTAGTGGCTTAAAACTGGTTGCTTCTTTTTATCAATCAGATGCAGAGTATTAGCAAAAATATTTAGATGTATGTATATATTCAGAGAAGTTTTACAACTCTTAAGAGATCTCTACTTATTCTTCTCAACTTTTCAGGATATTAGCTGTTGCAAGAATCCCACTTTTGACCCCTCAAGCCACAGTATAAGAGAACTAGAGCATTAATTGTAAAATTTAATGCCTGTTTAATGCTCAGGGCAGTGACCAGAGTATCCCTTTAGAATTAGGGCTGAACCAGGTATAGGCAGCCCCCCTCAGGTGCATAATAGTTTATATCCCTTAGGCATAGGTAAAGGATGGATGGATGGTTAGATGGACAGATGGATAGATAGATATTATATACTTTTGGGAAAGAAAAACTGGGATACAAAATTTAACTTCTTTAACGTTATTTCCAGTGAAGTTCAGATAAAATCCCAGAACTTCAAATCCTTACTAACTGCAGAGTTTTATTTCTTATTTCCTCCCATACATAATGTATATGTGCTATAAATACTTGGCTTTTGAAGATTTGCTTTTCGTTTGTTTGCAAGCTTTCAGATCAGACGACATTCTAATGAGTTCAGTTTTTCAGGCAGAATTATAAGAAGAAAGGAAGAGTGGTTGTTTTCTGTGACACTGTGGGAAGAACATGGGACCTGAAGTCAATCCAAGGGTCTGGAGCCCACCCCTATTTTTGCCATCTAATAGCCATGGCCCTCTCTGAACCCTGATTTCTTCCTAATAGCAAAGAATTATAACTACGTCATAAGATTTTTATGAGGGCTCAAATCAGATAATGAGGTATAAATAAGTCCAGTTCACTGCTTACACCAATGTGTAAAAAAGGGACTCAGAAATACAAGTCTTACCCTAAGGTTTCACATCACATTCATGGCAGAAGTAAGATGAAAACAATCCAAGTTGTTTCAACAACCCCTGATCATTCCACTGTACCAGCTTTTAATTATCTGCATCTTCAGCTGAGGAGAGTGCACCATGTCTCAAAGGTTCCTTTTAAGTATCTGACCTTATCCTCAAGTAACTTTTTTTCTCATTAAAATGTTCAAAACCTGAAATTTTTAGGTATGAGTCTAACAAAATGTGTTTAAGATCTGTATAAAAAAACTGTGCAATTCTGATGACATAAAGAAGAACTAAATGAATGGACAGAGATTCCATGTTCATGGATAGGAAGGCTCAATATTGTAAAGATGTTACTTCTTCCCAATTCGATCTATAGATTCAATGCAGTCTCAATCAAAATTCCAGCAAGTTATTTTACAGATATCAACAAACTGGTTCTGACGTTTATGTGGATAGGCAAAAGACCCAGAACAGCCAACACAATATTGATAGAGAAGAACAAAACTGAAGGACTGACATTCATTCCCTGACTTCAAAATTTACTATAAAACTACAGTAATTAAGACAATGTGATATTAGCCAAGGAAGAGACAAACAGATCAATGGAATAGAATAGAGAGCCCAGAAATAGACCCACGTAAGTATAGTCAACTGATCTACAACAAAGGAGCAGGCACTGTTCAACAAATGATGCTAGCTGGATATCACATGCAAAAAAAATGAGTCTAGACACAAAGCTTTTAGTTTTTTGAAAATAGCTTCTTGTTAAAATCCGAGGTTCATTCAAGGTGCATGCATTGCAATTTAGTTATTATGTCACTGTGAGTCTTTTTAAATCTAGAGTCCCTCCCCCCATTTTTTTAAATATCAATCTGATTTATGAAAGAATCCAAGCCAATTGTCTTATAGATTGTAAACTCTTAAGTTCTGTCACCAAAGGTAACAAAATAAATCACATTCTCCATTTGTCAGATGGTTTCTTTATGGTGTTAACTTTTTCTCCTGTCCCGTGTATTTCCAAACTGGAAATGAGGTCTAGAAGTTTAATTAGATTCAGGTTACACAAGGAACTACCAATTCTTAATTGCCTGCAGGGATAACTACCATCTTTATGGTAGCTGTTCCCTTGGTGATAAGTTTCTTCTGCTTTCCTTTGACAGATGTTAATGTTCGTGTGTCCAGTCTCACACTCTTGGGAGCTATAGTGTCCACCCATGCACCTTTACCTGAAGTCCAGCTACTTCTGCAGCAGCCGTGTTCTTCTGGACTCAGTAATAGCAATTCAGCAACCCCTCACCTCAGCCCTCCTGATTGGTGGAAGAAAGCCCCTGCAGGACCCTCTCTGGAAGAAACATCAGTTAGCTCACCTAAGGGGTCTTCAGAGCCCTGCTGGCTTATTCGACTCTGCATTTCCACTGTCATACTGCCCAAGGAGGATTCCTGTTCAGGTAGCGATGCTGGCTCTGCAGCAGGAAGCACCTACGAACCTTCCCCCATGCGACTGGAGGCCTTGCAGGTAGGAGGTTTCATTTCCTCATCTCTGAAATGTAAGTAACCATTCTCCTTCAGAGTGACAGTGAGGAGTGAGCGGGTAAAACCAAGCCATGTGTCAGTCATGTTGGTGGGAGGTGTATTTTAGGTATGGGTGGTGTATTTGTTTTTGTTGTTGTTTTGTTTTTGGGAGGTGTTCCTTAGTTGTAAAATAGCAGATTTGTTCCTTTTTGTTCTTTGCTTGCAAATTATTTTACTCATTTCAGTTATTATATGACAGGTGGCTATAATAGATTGTAGAACAATTCTGGGAGAAATTACACAATTAATTTTTGATTTTTGCAACTTAAATGTTTAATTCTCTTTAAGCTTCTCCTTGGTGTTGTATCTGCTTAGAGAAACAAAATAATTGTTCCTTCTAAGGAAGAAATCCTAAATAAAAGAGTTTGCTTTCTGTATACAAATATGATCTGAGACTAGGCCTGGTCCTGGGGTCTGCTGCTAATTAACTGGACAACATGAAACATGTCCTTTAACCTTGTCAGGCTTAGTTTCTTTAGCTGTAAAATTCAGTTAATACCTACTTAAAGAATAGTTTCAAGACTTAAATGAGATTACATTGCTGAAAAACAGTCCTATACTAAAGCACCATGAAACTATGATACAGTCAATTGATGTTATGAAATAAAGATTATGGTTCTTAATTTCATTCAGTAGGTTTCAGCCCTGTTAAATATTAGCAGTTTCTGAAATATCATAACACTTTTCTGGATATTGCAGCCTTGCACTTGGGTCTTAGAGGGTTAATTCCATGCCCTCTTTGCAGGTATTGGCTCTTCTGGCAAGGGGCTACTTTTCAATGACTCAAGTCTACTTGATGGAGCTTGGAGAGGTGATTTGCAAGTGCATGGGGGAAGCAGATCCATCCATTCAGCTTCATGGAGCAAAGGTAATTTTCATCAAAGCCACAAGGCTTTTTCCTTCTCTTCACTTTATATCCTTCCTTTATTTCACTTTATATTCTTCTGCCACATGTCCTTCAATTCTGAGATTTCTTAAAGAGTTTTCAGGTAAGGAAGACATACATTCTTCTGTTTTCAGCTCTTACATGTAAACCCCAAGAATTAATTCAGTAACACATTAACAATATATAGCTGTTGGTTTTAGTCCTTGAAAGAAGGCCTCTGTTAAAAGAGTGACTGAAAAAAGAAAGAAACTTAGTTGCAAATTATGTTTCCCTTGATTCCAGGTAATCTCCAATCTAAAGTGAAGTTGTTCTAATAATCTGCTTTGATAATTCTTTTTTCTTGGCAGCTTCTGGAAGAACTGGGCACAGGTTTAATACAGCAGTATAAACCGGAGTCTACCGTAGCACCTGATCAGAGAATACCAGTCTTCTTGGTAAATAAATGTCAATTCATAGTTTTCTTTTATTAGTGTTTCAGTTGCAGTTTTATTTTAAAGCTCAGTGGTAAGTGGAGTAGATGATATATGGTTTCTTCCAGTGTCAAAAATTATATTTTATAATCCAGGAAAACATGAAACTAGTATAAATAGGTTTTATTTTTACATTTCAGTTTGTTTGCAATTTAGAATGTGGTAGGCTTATGTGTAACATATAGCAATGGTAAAACTAATTCTTTCTTTTGCATAAAACCTAGTCTGGTTACTTAGCCTGCCCAAGAGACAAACTAGAATGGTGGGAAGAGCCAAGGATTTTTTTATCCAAAGCCATGGGATCAAATTTAGGAAACATGATTGTATTAGTCCATTTTGTGTTGCTTATAAATACCTGAGGCTGGGCAATTTGTAAAGAAAAGATGTTTATCTGACTCACAATTCCACAGGCTGTACAAGAAGCATGGCGCCAGCATCTGCCCATGATGAAGCCTCTCCAGAAGCTTCTAATCATGGTGGAAGGCAAATGGGGAGCAGTCATGTCATATGGCAAGACAGTAAGCAAGAGGGAGATGCCAGGCTCTTTTAAACAACTAGCTGTCATGTGAACTCATAGAGTGAGAACTCATTACCGCAAGGACAGCACCAAGCCATTCAAGAGGGATCCGCCCCCATGACCCAAACACTCCCTATTAGGCCCACCTCCAGTGTTGGAGGTCACATTTCAGCATGAGGTTTGGAGGAGGCACACATCCAAACCATATCACTCTGTCCCTGGCTCCCACAAATCTCATGTTCCTCTCACGTTGCAAAATACAGTCATCTCTTCCCAATAGTTCCCCAAAGTCTTAACTCTTTTCAACATCAGCTCAAAAGTCCAAAATCTCAGCTGTGACTTAGGATAAGTTCCTTCCACCTGTAAGCCTGTAAGATCAAAAGCAAGTTACTGACTTTTAAGATACAATGGTGGTACAGGCTTTGGGTAAACATTCCCATTCCAAAAGGGAGAAATCAGCCAAAAAAAAGGAGCAACAAGCCCCACACAAATCTGAAACCCAGCAGGATAGACATTAAACCTTAAAGCTCCAAAATAGTCCTTGACTCCATGTCCTGCATTTAGTGCACACTGGTGCAAGGGGTGGGCCTCCAAGGCAGCCTTGCCCTTGTGGCTTTTCTGAGTACAGGCTGTGTGGCTGCTCTCAGGTTGGAGTCCCATGCCTTTGGCTTTTTCAGGCTAAGGGTGCAAGCTGTCAGTGGCTCTACCATTCTTCAGTCTAGAGGGCAGTGGTCCCATTCCCACAGTTGCATTGGCAGTGCTCAGTGGAGACGCTGTATGGGGGCTCCAACCCCCCATCCCTGTTTGGCACTACCCTAGTAGAGGCTCTCAGTGGGGGCTCTGTCTCTGTGGCAGGCTTCCGTGTGGGCACCCAGGCTTAAGAAATCCTCTGAAATCTAGGTGGGAGCTCCCAAGCCTTCTTCACATTTGCATTCTGTGCATCTGCAGGCTTAACACCACATGGAAGCCACTTAAGGCTTACAGCTTGTACCCACTGGAGCAGCAAACCAAGCAGTATCTGGGGCCCTTTGAGCCAAGGCTTGGGATGCCAGGAGCAGTGTCCCAATGCTGTGCAGGGCAGGGGGGCCCTGGGGCAGGCCCCCAAAACCACTTTTCTCCTAGGCCTCTGGGTGTGTGTTGGGATGGGGTTGCCTCAAAGATTTCTGGAGTGCTCTCAAGGCTGTTTTCCTATAGCCAAGACTATGGGAAAAACAGCTTGGTTAGCACCTGGCTCCCTTTTAGTCATGCTAATCTGTCTAGCAAGTAGTTGCTCTGAAGGGCACTTGAATTCCTTCTCTACTACAGGATTTTCCAAATTTTTATGCTCTGCTAACCTTTTCATGATAAGTTCCAACCTTAAGTCATTCCCTTGCTCCTATGTCTGACTATAGGTTGTGAGAAGCAGCCACATCACCTGTTGAATGATGCTTAGGATTTCTTCCAGCAGATACGCCAAGTCATTACTCTTAAGTTAAACCTTATGCAAATCTGTAGGACATGGGCACAGTGCAGCCAAGTTGTTTGCTGGGGTGTAACAAAGGTGACCTTGCATCCAGTTCTCCAAACTTTTCTTTATTACTTTCTGAGACCTCCTCAGCCTGGCTTTCACTGTCCATATTTCTATCAGCATTTTGGTCACAACTATTTAATCAGTCTCTAAGATGTTCTAAACTTTCCTTTGTCTTCCTATCTTACGAGCCTTCCAAACTCTCAACCTCTGCCATTACCAAGTTCCAAAGCTGCTTCCAAATTTTTAAGTATCTTGATAACAACACCCCATTCCTTGGTACTAATTTTCTGTATTAATCTCTTTGCTGCTGCTGTAAAGAAATACCTCAGACCGGACAATTTATTTTTCAAAGAGGTTTATCTGGCTCACAATTCTGCAGGCTATTCAAGAAGCATAGTGCCAACCTTTACTTCCGGTGAGGCCTCAGGAAGCGTCCAGTCATGGCGGAAGGTGAAGGGGGAGCAGGTGTGTCACATGATGAGAGAGGAAGCAAGAGAGAGATGCCAAGCTCTTTTAAACAATTAGCTCTTATATGAACTAATGGAGTAAGAACTCACTTATTAATACAAGGATAGCACCAAGCCATTCAGTAGGGATCCACCCCATCACCCAAAAATGTCCCTCTAGGCCCACCTCCAACATTGGAGGTCACATGTCAATATGAGATTTGGAGGGGACATACATCCAAACCATGTCAGCCACTTAATGGATATGTGATTATAAGCCTGGTTTCCTAGTTGTAAAGAGGAATAATATATCCCTTCAGTCACAAGGCTATTGAAAATCGAATGACATGTACAGATGCTAACACATAGTAGGTAATTCCTTTACCTGTGCCCCCCACCCCGCCATGATTCTGTTAAATTCCTGTGATTTCAGGTTGTTTCTGCTACCGCCACACTGTGCCAGTTCTAAAGGAGACGGGCATGTGACCCACCAAAAAAGGCTTCTACTTAGTGCCAAAAGCAAAATCAACTCAGTGCTGGTGGTCTTTGCTCCCTCTGCCCTCCTCATTTTGCCTATTCTTTTCCCTTCACCATTTCTATCATCCTTGCAGTGTATTAAAAACTCTAACCCTAGTCCCTGCCTTAAAGCTTTCATATAACATGCGCAGGGAGATGAGATCAGACAGAACTAGGTTTGAATCCAGACTTCTCCCTTTGTTGGATAGGTGATTTTGGCCAAATCTCTTAACTGTTCACATTCAGGTATTGTTAAAAAAAAAAAAAAAAAAAA